TTTCACCAAACACTTGCATTATTCCTTTAAAGGTCAACATTTTTTTCCAGTATGATTAATGATCAGGACTGGGTTAAGTTCTAATTCTACTCTATGTTCATCTCATAGCTTTGGTGCAGCGTCCTGCCTCTGACTGTCTGAAGCTCAAGTCACTAGCAACACACATGGTGAAAATCTGCTGCCACATCTTTAATCACACTGGGAAATAAGACTTTACAAGGCAGCTGAAGGGATCCCAGATGTAGCCAATCATCTCCCAGATTTCCCAGTGTTATACTGTAATGGTTGCAACACATTTCAAAATGGAGCTGGTATTTGGCTACAAAACCAACTCCGTGTTCCTCCCTGTCCCAAGCCTATTGCTATACTGTATGTGTATGTGCTGAAGCAACCTCATTTCCATGCTCGAGGGGGAAAACAGAGAATATCTTGTCACACAAACTGACAGCTGTCTAAACACATTTCAAGAAACTGAAAGTCTACTGCAGACCCAGCAAGGAACACACCTGGGTACAGTAGCAAAAGGCCAGTGTGTGTGTGTGTGTGTGTGTGTGTGTGTGTGTGTGCGTAGAAGAGGGAGACAGAGTCCAAGAGGAAGCAGGGAGAAAGATGCAGGATGACTGTGTATGCCTATTTCCTTTAGCTGCAAGCCTGATCAAACTGATCAGTGTTCAAATACCATGTTAAATGCAATCTTGATGATGACTTAAAATTAACCAAGACACTCAGTATAAATGGATCTATGCTATAATAGCACCTGTTTTTTTTATATTTGGCATGAATGGACAAAGGTAAACAAAAGGGAAAAGCCATAAGAAACACAGCAGAGCAACAGCACAATCACCATTTTCTCCTCTGTGTAAGCCTTTTTCATATTGCAGCATAAGTCAGCCACTTACCCATCTCATCCAACAATGCGACACACTGCAACTCTACAGCAATTACTGCTCAGCTGGAACCATTGCTGAAGCGTGTCCATATCTCCTGGTGCTGATGCAGTAATAATAATGAATAATCAGTTGCAGAAGAAGTAAAATATTCAAAAACATCCATGACTTTTAAACAGTAATGGAGAGTTTGTGTATTGGTGTAGTCACAAGGGCAGACAAAGATGAAGAGGTGCTTTATGCACAGTACAAATTAAACTCATGAACAGAAGCTTAAAAATATTAAGATAAAGAAGAAGGGTCTGTGAAGGATGCACATTGAGATTTAAAGCAAAATATTTGGTCAAAGAAAATCTGACTGTGCTCTGCTCCTTCTCTATTGTTAAATGTCACCGTTGACTGAATTTGGATGGATTCATATGCACTATTTCCCATTTACCTGTTAATTAAACCTATCCTCACATGCCTGTGACAGCACAAAGCAATGAAACACAATTAGATACTGAAACAAAAGATGAGCGCCGGAAATGTTTTGGGGTAAAATGCCATAAACCCTGGTCTCACACTGCACCAGTTAGGCAGCGTGCATAATCTGGATTAACTTTAGTATGAAGGAAAGAAGACAAACAGTGAGGAGAGAGGATCATGGGAAGAGAGAGATCAATGATGTGGTTATTACCATGTAATGAAAACACAAGAAGCCCTTTGGTGTGAGAACTTCTTAAAATTTTATCAGTGCTAACACAGTTTACTGAAGTCCGTGTGTGTCTCTGAATTTTCAGGTAAAAATAAACATTCAAATATATACTATACTTTCAAATCCTTGCCTATTTTTATTTGCCACAGATACCTTAGTAGTCACATTTACATAGGACAGGAGGTAGTTAACAACTATGTTCTACCTCATATTGTAAGTGTCACACATATGGACATACAGTGTTGTTTAATTTGTTGAATTTCTCACTATTAAAAAGCTCACACTCAAACAAAAGTTTTTTTGGTGACTAGATGACTATTATTGAGCTTTTACATGTTTTTAAAGGGGCATGCCACAGATTTTACACAGAAAAATCACTTTAGTCATGATAGGGAGTACTCAGCAGGTTCAACAGAAAATAATGACCTTAATGGCAAGAAGGAAGAAGTACTGACTGTAAAGGTACTCCCTTACATGCATTTAAAATGTTACTTAAGTAGAACTGCAGCTGTATTGGCAGAAAAATGTACCCGATGGAGTAAAATGTCCCCTGTCATTGTTTCACTACTGAGCATTACTTCTCATGCATTAACATTTTCATTCTGCTGAGTATTTCTTGCATAATCCATTTATTGTTTGGTTCATAAAAATTCAGGAAATACTGAGAAATGCCATTTCAATTACCGAGAACCCACAGTGACACCTTCACAATGCTGGTTCCTTCCAACCAACCATCCAAAAACCTCAAAGTTATGAAAAATGATTCAACAATATAACACATAATCATCACATTTGTGAAGCTGTGACAGTGAAATGTTTGCTCTTTTTACATAAAAATGACTTAAATAATTGTTGCTGATTAATTTTCTGTCCAATAACTTATCAGTTATCAAAAATCATTTCAGCTTTACAAACTGTATAAACTGTTTAATACTACAACAAAGCAATATGTCTTACAATCTGGTTTTATAATGTATATAAAATTTGGAATTTATAACATAATCCATAACTAAAGTTATGTAATCTGAAATGAAAAAAATAGCGTGAAATGGAACTTCTTTAGTAAAGGACAAGTACCTCATATGTGTATTTACAGTAAGAACAGTCGTTAAGTAAATGTTACTTTGTCAGTCCACATCTTCTGTCAATCAGGAACTGGGGTCGAAAACCAGGATTGGTGTTATTACAGTGTCACTTCTTTGCTTCCATGTTGTGAAGAACGGAAGTGTTTTCTTCATATCTGCTGTAAAGTTATAATGTGGTCAGGTGTACCAGGGCCTAAAATGCCATCTCCTTGTGCTTTGAAATGTTCACAGCTTTCAGCACAACTATTATGTTAAAGAAAAAAAACTGACATCCAAGTATAGTGGGTAATGAAAAAAGTGCATGGGAAATGCAGGAATATCAGGACATTCTTATGTTCACACACACACACAAGCTTGACACTCTTCTCAGAGCTGAAGCATCAGGGTCAGGTAGATACACTTTTCTATCCGGAATCCCTTCTTCTCCATCAGCGGTTGGGGGACTGATGTAAAGGGCGTTGAACATGTGTTGCTAGGCAACTAATCCTGCAGACATGGGCCTATATATTGTGACAATGATGGCCGATTACCAGCTGCCTGTTTTATGGTGAATGCTTTCATTGTTTACAAGTCTCACAGTGGGCTTGCATGTTTACTGGTGTACACTGTCTACTGGATATGTGGTGAATGTGAATCACAGCTAGGTCACCAACATGGCCCAGGCTCCAAAGAACCCAAATCCAACCCATGAACAATATTCATACCCTCTGTGGCTTGGCCATGCCAAGTGGATAAATGTTATATAACATGTATGATTCTCCTCATCTTGTCATTGGTGGCACAACATAATTTAGCATCACCTAATTGTAAGAACAGACTCGAGGCTACGACATTACAGGATCTGAGGCTTTCTGCCCAAATTACTTTGCACATTCAATCATGTAGTATGTGGTTTCTAGCTCCCTCTGTAGCGTTTTTAACAGCACAACACCGCTCAAGTCTGGGAAGCCCTTTATTTTGATGCAGGGTCCTCATTCTGCTGCACCCACAATGCTCCATGATTCACAAATTAAAAGGACATGGCTAAATGAAGAGAGATTATGCAGTGAACATTATGAACTCAAAAGAAATTACATGACTGATTGAAATGTTTTTTTAATCAAAGCAAAATTAACAATACACTAACGTGACCTATGACATGGCAAAAAAATACATTCTGTAAACTGTCATTTCAACAGAGCATATCTTTATGAGAACAGCTGACTCTATTATATGATAATCTCATCTTCATTTTCTGGTAATCATAGGGTCCTACATCACATCTCATAGACTTCTGTGCTGCAATTATTATTCAGAAAAGCTTCCTTACGTCCTTAAGGCACGGTGCCGTTTTAATAAATGGTGTTTTTTGTGTTGTATTAAACATCTGAGTTAAAAATGACTTGATCCGTTAAGATACCTCTATGCTACGCTGTAAGCACATGAAAAAGTAAACATGATGTGAAAAGAAATGGTTTCTACTATATAACTTTGACCCCTACATTAAATAACTGAACATTAATTCTTACATGAATATAATACATTAAACATAAAGTTCAAAATAGGCCTGTATTTTTTACATTTTAAAGTGCAGTGCTGTAGCTATATAAAAACTGGTAGTGTAATTCACATGTTCATTACACTAGGGCATAAAACTGCTGCTGCACTGCTTTGATTTCACTATAGGAAAAAAACTCTGAAAACAGACAACTTTTTCAGCTCTGAATAATAATAATTATTATTTCATATTTGCATCATCATAAGAGCTACAATTTTAAAATACACATCAGTTTTAACCAATCATGAGCCAGGACATAACAGTCTAAACCAACATGTAAACATCAGTGTAAAATGACACCCTCTGAGCTGACTATGCTGTGTTTATCTGTAGAAGATAAATGATGTTACTGCTCCATGTCATTGTCATTCTGCAGAGTCTTCATCGCCAGGCCCCACAGAGCTACACTGGAGATTAACTGGCCCTCACTGGACCTGGAGGATCCACTACTGGGCCTGCTAGACCCTGTGAAGGCACTGCAGTGACTATCTGTGGGAGGCAAGTAGGGCCTCCCCACCAGACCTCTGCTCATCTCCACTGTCATATTTTCATTCTCCATGTACGGACCGTACACAGGCTCCTGAGACAGGTGCGGTTTGGCCAGCTTCATGTGGTGTGGAGCAGCCAGGTTGGCACTTCTCTCCTGGTGGTTTGAGGAGAGGAGGTGATGGGGAACAAGAGAGCGCAGCTCTGGAAGTGTGGTGGGGGTAGGAGCAGGGCTGAGGTGTATGCTGGGAGAAGGAGGTTCTAGATGTGGTGCTGGTTGTGGTGGTGAAGAAGGAGGTGGTGAAGGTTTCTCTAATCCTGTTTGGGGCATCATAGTGGAGAAATGCTGCTCACAGGTAGAGGCGATGGGCTTACTGTGGCTAACAGGTTTAGAAAATGAGGCAGCGCCATCGGAGCCATGCAGCTGCTCAGCGGTGTCGGGGACTGGGCTGTTGGCTGAAGCCCCCTTGCAGTGCATGTTGCTGTGTCTCCTCAACATGGCTGAGCGGGTGAAGCTCTTTCCACAGGCATTACAGATGTACGGTTTCTCACCAGTGTGAGACCGTATGTGGCGCTGCAGGTCCCCAGAGCCAATAAAGCATTTTCCTGCATTGATATAGTACACAAATAGATTGTAAATCACTGTGCAGACATTAGCTATAGTCTGCACTGGATTAAAATTATACACACTTTTTAAAACTAAGTTACAGAGCCAGCCAAGGTTAGTTCATAACATGCATTCAAGCAGTTGTGGCTTTCATCCAGTTTGGCAGGTAAAAACAATGCCACTCATGGCACCGTGGCTCCAAATGACCTCTTCCAAGTGACTTTTAAAGAGCTTCTTACCACAGGTGTCACAGCTGTGTGGCTTTTCTCCAGCATGGCGGGCTTTGTGCTTCAGAAGCTTTCTGTGTGTGTTGAAGGACTTTCCACACTGGTCACAGGTAAATGTCTTGTCTGTGGAATGAGTCCTTTTGTGCTCCTTCAGATTGCTCAAGTTATTAAACCCTGCACAACAAACATGAACAGAGAGTAAAATACCAGTCTTATGAGGACAAAATGTGTCCATTATAGCCACATAGACATTGTTGCTGTAGGTCCTCTGTAATAAAGACTGTTTCTTGTAATGAAAGTGGTCACATACCTCGACCACATATATCACACAGATGTGGCTTCTCCCCTGTGTGGACCACTTTGTGACGCTGAACATCCCCTGATGCTGTGAAACTGAAAAACACAGATCAAATTCATTGGTATGGAGGAACTACAGTGCACCTGCATATGTAATATGTCTTACTGTTACATATGCTGGGTCTTAAATTTAGATGTAGTCTGTTCTAATCAAACTAGTGAGGTATCACCACAAATACTATATTATTGCATCAAGGTGTAAGATGGCATTATAAAAATAAAAGATTACACAATTTATTTTATAAAAGGTTTATTTGGTACACGCAAAACCTTAGTATGTGGCCATCTTTCAAAACTATTTAGCATTTTTTTCGCAGTAAAAGTGGACACATAAACATAACATTAGCAATGAACTGACAAATGAAAAAAAACAACAACCTGTAAATATGGATGAGGAAAAGCGATAAAAGGAAACTCTTTACCTTTTACCACATAACTCACAGATGTACGGCTTCTCTCCAGAATGTCGCCGCAAATGTGTCTGCAAATTTCCAGCCTGTAAACCAGGATCAGCTGGTTCAATTTAATCAGACCACCAAAGAAGAACTGTGCCAAATCAAAATGTGCCAGGCCATACCTGTGAAAAGTTTCTCCCACAAACATTACACTGGAAGGGTTTTTCACCTGCAACAAGACATGCGGATTAGGGTCTGGAAATATTATAGTGCGGTTAGTCCTACAAAGTCACCAGGTTAACTGAAATGTGCTTTTGCATATGATGGGTGCTTGTAAGGTAATTATAAACTGTAAATACCAGTATGTGAACGCTTGTGCAGTTCCAAGTTGCTTGGGTGTTTGAAGATCTTCCCACACACCTCACAACAATACTGTTTATGGCCTGTCTGCTGCGGCGGCTCGGGCACAGGCTTTAGATTTTGCTCCTCTTGGTTCACAGGTGGAGAACTAGGAAGTGGTGCATCTGCTGCTGTTTCAGAAACCTCTTCTGTGCCTGTAGTAAGACCCTCAACAGGAACTTCTGGAGCTTCAGTCTGGACAACAGGCTCTTCTTGATGTCTCTGTTTGGGACAGTTGAGAATGGGTTCACTGACTGATTCAGCACACATCTCCTCCAAAGCCTTCTGAGACCGCAGGTAGTTGTACTTTTTCAGATAAACAGTCTTCTTTGGGCGCACTGGCTTGTTGAGCATGGAATCTGCTGGGTCAGAGCTCAGAGTGTTTAAATTTTCTGACGGTGTTAAAGAAGAGACAGGGTTTTTTTCCACTGCCACAGATGTTGAGGTAGGGTTGGGCTGAGCTGCGTTTCCTGAGCATACAGGTGTGTGGCTGCCAATGCCAAGCTTATAATGTTGCTCCTCCACCACCGCCAAAGGGCCCGGGGCTTGATTTGAGGCTGCACTATTAATCTGAATTGCACTTTGTTTGAAGTACTGCTTGCTGTAGAAGTTACGAAGCTTGTAGCCATGGACCAGCTGTTTTTCTGCAGGTGCCTGAGTACTGCTAGGTGTGTCACTGTTTGAGCTACTAGGCACAGAAACTGGCAACCTTTTGGCATGGTCTACATCACTGCTGAAGCCAGGCCTCTGGGCTTCAGAGGGACAGTGGAGTTCAGCATCATGAGGAAGGCTGCCCCCCAGGAGGCATTCATGCTCTGTGCTCAGCATGCCTGGGAGAGAAAATGATGAGATTTCCACTGGTGGAGGGCAAGGCTTGAGGAAAGCATTACACATGCTCTGCACGTTTGGAACCTGCAAACACTGAGCAATGTCCAGGAGTGCTTGCACATTATCTTGGTTGATGTCAATATGGGACGTGTACATGTAGTCCAGTATTTGGCCGATGCCACTGACATCCTGGATAACCAAGTTGAACACCTCATTCTTCTGACTGGGGTAATTTTGGAACAAAGACCTGTAAAGATCAAAGTCACACTTTTTTACATTTTGTTACTTTAAAACAGTTGAGTATCATTATTTAGCTGAGTGAAAGGAAAGGAAATATGCCACAAATTCACTAAGGTATCACTACATTGAATATATAAATGCACCTGAAATGGGAGCTGAACGCAGCCAGGACATTTTTATGAGCTTTGAAACAGACACCTTTGACCACAAGCATGCAGTCACACAGCAGCCCCTGAATCCTCTGCTCCTGGAGCTGCTGCAGGAGGTAGGAGCTGTGGGTGGACAGGGTGTCCATGGTCACTCAGCTGGTGAACCACTCAGCTCCAGCGCGTCCATAAAAAAAGCTAGTTGAGGGGACATGTCAAAACAATTAACTTAATGAGGAGCTAGTTCTTATTCCTTTGGTGAAACCTGATTAAAAGTGATGCATGCCTGCACTGGAAACTTTTCGCAAACAGTATCATTTCCTATAACACAACATAATTCAACAACCGCGCAGAATCCAGTGTATCTCCGCCATGAGACCACCCATGCAAAAATTGGACGAAGCCTGGTAGCAACAAGCTAACTACAAAGCTAATGCCACCCAACATCAACAGTGAGTGCTGTTAATCAGTGCAGCAACAAATTCATCAAAGCTCACATTTTCAACCGAGACTGACAGTCATAGCTATCATTATTTCAGTAACTTAAGGCACAAAGACAAATCAAAACATACAATAAACGTACCACCTTTTCTGTGGATGATGGGTCACTTTTCGGGTGTAATAACGTTACATCACATCCTGGTACAGCTTGTATTATGAGCCGCCTAAAACTGAAACAGACAACACGAAAAAAATATTGTGTAGAGCTACTTTATTGTAATATGACTCTGTATTGTATTTAACGTGACAATACGCGTAACTAGTTATATATAGCTTTTCCAAAAGCTTTGGACAATATTCGTCTCCATCCGACTAGGAACCTTTTCTTCTGTGTTTTGTTCCCTACGGAAGACTAGTAATGTAGCTACCGAATGTGGTTGTTTTCACGTGTTTTAAAAAGTTTATACATAAATCGAACAGAAGCCAGGTTGTTTGTTGCATGCAAAGGCGATTTTAAATTTAAGCAAGTTTAATTTCCTCGCTTATATAATTGAACTCAATACACGTAACGTTAACCACTTGTCTTTGACTACCAATTAGTGTGTATCAGTGCCGTGGACAGAGAGGTCCCGGTTTTACGTGAGGTTTATAACGGTTTTATTTTATACCCTGCTGCTTTTGGTTTCACTTACGCGGCGTAGCACATTTCCGTTGTGTTTAGTGTCGTGTCTCGTTATAGCTCAGTCCAAGAGAATTGTTCAAAATGGTGTTTTTCACTTGCAACGCTTGTGGGGAATCCCTGAAAAAGGCTCAAGTCGATAAGCATGTGAACATTTGCCGGGGCTGCAATGTCTTGTCCTGCATCGACTGTGGAAAGGACTTCTGGTAATGACCGGGTGATTGTTATCTTCTGTTTTTTTTTTCGTTTGTTTGTTTGTTTTCCGTAGTTAACCAGATTCAACTATATAGCCCACCAGGCTCACAGTGCTACGTTTGTGTAATGGTGCTTCTCTGTTTGCCAGGGGTGGCGACTACAAGAACCACATTAAATGTATCAGTGAAGATCAGAAGTATGGAGGGAAAGGCTACGAGGCAAAGGCAAACAAAGGAGATGTGAAACAGCAGCAGTGGATCCAGGTATTATATAGAGAAGCGATACCCATCTCTGTTAATGTTCTGTACACACCAGTTAATTTCTGTTTTATTTATTTTATTTTTGCTATGCTCTGACTTTTCTTTTACTGAAGCGAATCCATGAAGCCATGAACAATCCTGGAATCAGTGCAAAGCTGAAGAATGTGCTCGAGCAAGTTAGTATGTATGATAATGTCCCAAGAAAGAAGGCCAAGTTTGAGGTTGGTGTTTCTTCAACCTTTAACAATAATGTTGTTTTATTGATCAGGTGTTGAACTGGTAATCAATTGTCTTGCTATAAACATGTTTGTGTGTGTTTGGGAGTGCAGTGAGAATGGGGACTTGTCCAGTCACTTTAATTTTGTGTTTCTTGTGTCTTAGAACTGGATGAAAAACAGTCTTAAAATCACCAACACGGGTCTTCATGGTGAAGTGTGGGACATCCTAGCTGCAGCTGACAATGTAAGTTTGCCTGCTTCAAGGTTTTGTAGTTTTTCTTGTGCATATTAGTTTGCTCAGCTGATCAAGTCCAAAGCACTGAAATACAGCAATTTGTAGCTCCAATATATTGAAAAAGATGCCAGAAGTATTTACTAGGCAATGTCATATGATGGCTTCCAACTACTGGAATTGTGATATTTGTAAATTCAAATGTTGCCACTTAAATAATAGTCACAAGGGTAATGCATGCATTAGAAACCATTCTGTGTAAGTGCCAGGTTTTGCTCTCTTAAAATGGTAATGCATTATAGTTGGGTCTCTACAGTATTTGAGATGGCTGGTATGCAGTTGTGATCTGATGTCACAGGATAAGGAGGAAACATTATTTTCCTGGTTGTAATAAAATCTGTCAAAAAAAGAAAAAATTAGATTCCCCTGTTTTCAATATCTAATGTGATGTCATTACCCAATGTATAAACTGACAGGCTCTGGAGCCCCCCCAGCAGACTAAAGAAGACAAACAGACAGTGCCTGAAGTCAAAGGTAACAGTGATGGAAATGAAATGCCGAACAGCCAACCAAATGTTGAGAAAAAGAAGCTGAACAAGCAGGAGCGTAAAGAGGCCCGTCAGCAGAAGAATAGGAACGGTGCTGAAAAAACAGTCTTTCAAGAACCAAAAGAGGACCAGGCAGGCAAAAAGAAAAAAAAGGACACAAAGAGAAAGCTGTGCTGTGAGGAGGATGATGGTGAAGGGCAGAATGGGCACAGCGCTGAAAATGGCACATCGAGCAAGAAAAGGAAGAACATGTCAGGTAGGGCTGGATATTGATGCTGATTTCAGTTTGATATAATTTCATGGTTAATTTACATCAGTGTTGCATAAAGTGCTTCTCAGAATCTTTTTCTAAATTCAACAAGTGAGCACCAAAAGTAGTTAAACTTTGCATTAGAGGCGAAATTGTGAGCACAGTTGCTGGTGACAGTGTTGTGCACCAAAGATTTATTTTCCTTGGCGAATGCAAAAAAGCTAAAACATGACAGATCTGTATTTTTAGGTACATGTACAAAACATTAGCAGCATTGTTGTGACTCAACCTTGCAAATATAGCCAGCTATCGTTTACATTACTTTTAAACTTAAAACAGCCGTTTTGTACCTTTTTGTGCACATTGTAGCAAGTGGTTTATGACAAAGTAGACACGTTACACAACCACTTATAACAAGTAACCTTTATATACACAACATTTAGTGCAAATATGCACGTTTACTGAGAAAAGATGTAAATGCAAAGATCAGTCTTGGCACTGCAAGAATAGATACTGAATCATTTCAATGAGAATCATAATATTTTTAACCAATCCTAATATCAGCCCTTGTTCTGAAGACCCACATGTGAAATGTTACTGTTACAGTCTGTCAATGTAGAGTTTTTTCCAGGAGCAAATTGGCTCCTTTTCACTCGTCTTTTTATTTTTTTCGAAAAGTGTAGACACATGTATTTCAGGATTTGTTTTACTATACAAGTCTTTAATGATCTTTTCCAGCTGATAAAACAGCAGAGGCTGCTGATATACACATGTCAGAGGAGACCGAGAGTCAAGAAGTTTGTAAAGGTAAGATGGTTTAGTGCATTTTTATTAGATAAATGATTGTGTTAAAGCCACCAGGAGGCAGTGTTGTTTCTTAGTTGGACGGTGAGAAAATGACCCACAGTGAATATTCTTTGCACTAGAAGCTAATTTATGTTTCTGATCAACTTATAGGCAAATTCAACTGGAAGGGGAATATTAAGGCAGTACTGAGAGGCTCACCTGACCAAGAACTCTCAGTGAAGAAACTGAGAAAGAAGGTGAGCCATGGAGTCTTATGTACGGTGTACACACAAGTCTCTAGTTCTTCGTTTGCATGCCATCAAATTCAGCTTCTAAGCACAATAATTTGCAATGTATATTGATTTGAGATGATGTTAAGAGCTTGTTATCCTTTCACAGGTGTTGGCAGCCTACTACTCTTTCACTGGTGATGGAAACTTAAAAACAGACGAGGAGGTGCTAGCACTTTTCAACAAGAAGATCAACAACAACCCGGCGTTTAGAGTTTTGAAAGACAGAGTTAAACTTGTAAAGTAGATTTGTTTATTTTATCACTAGCATGAAATGTATATTAGGGGTAGGGTAGAACTTTATTGAACTTTATTATTCAAACACTTGCCTCCAAGGATGTTTTATTCAAATAACAATTTCAAAGTTTAAATCACTTTACAACTGAATTGTGTGTCCTGTTCCTTAATGCATTGTGCCTGGCCAGCAGGAGTTTTACAAATGACCTTATTCAGTGCGTTTTAATCTGTCAAATGACGATAACGATAGATGGCAGCTCTGTTCCACATTCCAAGCCCGTAGTAAGGCTGATAAATGGCACTTTTATCTGTAGGATTGGATGTTGGAGTGGGGGAAGGGGAACGGGAGAGGTGCACCTGAGGTGAATTTGACTCTCGCACAGGACGAAATTAATACACATTCCTCAGCACCCTGAACGGGGTTCACTTGGCCAGGGACACAGAAGCTCCTTAGAGGCGAGATGCTTGGTGTCAGCCTCAGGTGAAGTTTTAATGTGCGATTTTCCTCCGCTAGAATGAGCAGCCTCTTCACCCTGTACACACACACATACACAGGAGGATCTAAAGGAGGAAATTGGCTTTATGAAACTCTACTAATCCCAGCAAGGTTAACACTGATACTCCTTCAGTACACTGCTTACCTGTAATTGTATATTCCATACTTTGGGTATTAGTCAAGCTGTTACTCAGGTTTGCTAGTATTAAAATGGCGTTTTCTAGTCCTCAGTGGGACTCGGTATTGCTTAATGCATTAGTTTTAATCCAGCTCAACACACACGATACTTAGAAACCTGAAACTAAGTCTGTCTTCAATGTTGCAAAACAAATCTGGTTTGCCAGATAATTACATTTGTGCCTTTAAATATTACAGGATAAACTGTGTGGCAGGTGTATTTTACATGAGGCAGTTTCACCCTTGTGCTTTAATCTTAATGAAAGCTAACTGAACATTGCCTTAAGTAAAGGATACCTAGGGTATTAACACGAGACTATGCTAATAACACAGTTTTGCTTTAAAATTAAAAGTTTAGTTTTAAGGAATAAAACATCCTTTCTTGTTTTGGTACATAGGTTTAACAGCCAGTGTATGAAATGCAGTGCTTGTTAGCATACTGTATAATAGTGTTAGGTAATGCTGGGAAGCTGTAACAGATTATTTGGCCAGTTTTCTGATTCTATGGGTCATCTCTGTTAATGCATTATTAACATTTCCATTCATTATTATCACTTATGCAATAAATCACCCCCTTGTCTAATGCAATACCCTCAGGGGCAGGGGGTTTGCAATTGCAGCATTTACTTGGTCTGGTGTGAGCAGTAACATTTTTCATTAATCTTAATGTTCTGTGTTTGTCTCATACTAAATTTGTAATTTTTCCGTAACTTATGGAACTTACTGTCCTGTAACATTTAGGCCACTGTACTCAGCAAAAGTCTCACTTTAATGTCATCATTACACAGAAAGCGTTGTACTGCAGCAGGTACACCTGTTGTATTCTGCTTGTGGTATAATATCATGGTGGCAAACATGAGCAGGTATTTCTCCTCTTACTAACCCCCCTGAACCAGAGAATAGGTTAACACCCTTCTCTGGTGCATTTGCACAGAAATAAGAAATGCCCATGGATGCAAAGAAAGAGATATCTTTAGTCACAGGCCATCTATGAAGTTGACATCCATTTACTGTATTCAAAATAAACAAGGGAAATTAAAAATTAGAAAACATCACTCAGTGTAACACAATACTGTCCAACAGAACTACAAATTGCAGGGTAAATATTTTTGACAAAAGATGAATGTTACGCCTTTCAAGATGGTAACATTTATTGCATTAGATTGCACTGGTTTTATTTGTATCTATGTATAAGCTGGTTGCATATTAACAGCTGCTGCTGAGTGGTAGCAGTAAGACAAAGGTATCAGCAGTGCTATGTTTTCTATAGTAGGGTACCATAATGAACCAAACTGGCAATGGTTGATGTAGCAATAATCAATTTTTCGTATGCTGCAAATATAATGATTGCATTGTGTGTGTTACCAGTTCTCTGTTGTTGACCCTGTAGAGTTCGATAACCACAACTCTTTGCCAGGTTGTAAATGGAGGACTAAACATTGTTTTCTATTTTTCTAATGGACTTGTGACTAGATAGCTAACATAGATAACATTTAAGAATTAAAAAGAATTCAAAATATGTAAAGCATATTCCTTTTAAAATTGTAATCTAACTATGTGTTCTTTTTTTAATAGGTTAAATATAATTATTGGTCTACCTAACATGTATTTTCTGTTTTTCAGCAGCAATGCCTTGGAATTTTTAAATTCTACTATTACGAACAATACAACAATTCAAAATAATACGAAAAACTACAACTGTCGCTTTGAAGTGCGTCGTAAAAAAGCGACTAACAGGAAGTGCTACATAATCACTAGCAAAGCTCCCTAGTTAGATTTGGGAGCTAGGTTAAAGATAAGTTAGCTTTTGGAGCGAAGTTGAGGATAGTATCGATATAATGCTCAACGACAGAGAGCTGGCGACGTTGCGGAATAGATTTAAGAGAGATGCGGAGTTTCTTATGCAAGCAACCACACCGGGTGATGAAGATGAAAAGAGTAAGCTTTGGAAACATTATAGGCTAAGTTGGCTCTAATTGCCAACTTTAACTATTTTCCCAACAGAGCCGTTAGGATGAGAAGGTACAACGACGAAACTAAGCGTTGTAAACACTATTCACACTGCACTGATGTCCTTACTGCCCGTGACTGTGGCATATTTACAGGATGTTACTCGGATGGGCAGAGCTTGCTGACTAGAAACAATTTGATGTCATGGTTGAAGCTTTTGAATCGCTAGGTTGTAGTCAACGCAGTCTTCAAAAAAACCTAAGGCTTAATTTACATTTTTTGAAACTGTAATTAGATGCTTGACAGTTTAAGATATCTTAAAGATACCGTATGTGCAGACAGGTGATAGATGAAAGGACAAATCTGAATGCTTGAGGGGATGCACTGGCTTTGTTATTCTGTGGGGGTCTTTTTGCAGGCATGGTTTGGGTCCACTTAGAGGTAAGAGTCACTGCAAATCAATACAAAATTGCTCTGAGTGATCACCTTTTATTCCATGATGAAACAGTTCAGTCCTCATAGCTGTCTCACACCCCCATCCACATGCACAATGGCTCACTGAATGGTTTGATGAGCATGAAAATGGTGTGAATCATGTGGCCTTCACAGTCACCAGATCTCGTCCCAGTAGAACATCTATGCGACTCTGGCCCTCTCCACCACTATCATCAAAACACCAAATGAGGGAATATCTCTTCAAAAGATGGTGTTCATCCCTGTTCTGGTGTACACGGTGACGCAACACCTTATTCAGAAACTTAATGTTGGTTTTTCCTTTAATTTGTCACCTGTCTGGATATGTTAATTGTGATTATTGTAGGCAGCTTGTACAATGGACAGTTGTCCCAGTTTGAGGCCCTAACTGGCAGAAATCCAGCAATTCATGATTGTTTTGACTACGAGCAAATGCTGTGTCAGCTTAGCAACATGATACAGGGAAACTGTACACACACACACTGGCCCCAGTCCGATTCAAGGGGCACCTCTTTTACTGTGTAAATTGATAACTGAAATACAGGGAACAGACAAACTATAGTCACAAAAAAGTAATGGCACTGTTTGCTATTTCCTGGTTTTCTGCACAGACTTGTCATGGCATGTGATCTGATCTTCACCAAAGTCACAAACATTAACAAACAGTGGATGTGTTCAGTAAAGACATGAAAGATTGTGACTGTGTTTGATCAGCTTAGATGTTTGGTGAAGATCAGATCACATGTCATGTCAAATTTATGCAGAAAACCAGGAAACTGCAAACAGTGCTGTTACTTTGTCTTGTGACTGTGTTTGAAGAGTGATCACTTTTATATTAATGCTATCTCTGTAAACCGCCATCAGTGGCTATTCTGGCAAGGCAACACTGTATCTCGTATACAGGATGGATCTCTGGGCATAACTTTGATTAAACATGTAGGCCAACTGTTTGTCCATTATAAACTATGCACCGAGTAGACCAACATGCTGAGGCACTTCAGCAGCCAACGACAAGTTCTGATGTATTTAATTAACCACTAAATGATAGAGAGTAATGGCTCTCTGAGAAGTAAGATTATCTTAAAGAACACTATCAGTTTCATCAAAAAAAAACTGATTAAATCTGAAAAGTAGAGCTTTAGCTCATTCTGCTGAGGCAAGACAAATCTCATATCTGGTAGTAAATTATGCACTGAGTTAGTGTTATCGTGCTACTACTTTGCTAGATGTCTTAATATCTAGCAGTCTAGATCAGTCAGATGTAGTGGGCATATGAATTGGTGAGGAATGATTGTGATTTGTTTGGAATGAATTTGTTATAACCCATCTCTACTTTTTATAGATCTTTGTGGAATCAATTGTGCTTTTAAAGTAGAAACATAGATTGAAACATCAAAGAACGTAGCCCTAGTTTTTTCTTTTCTTTTACCTTTCAGGTCAGGAGGAAAAAGATGCCAAACCACTCCCTCGCATTAACAGACACACCATTTTCTGGATTGTGGCGTCTGTAGGTGTGACCTATTATGTGGATTTCCTCTACAACATCATGGAGAATAATGATATCAAAAGGTGAGAGAATTATAATCCTTTGCCAATCTCTCTGTTCCCTACATTATAAACACTCAAAAAATTAATTCTGTGCACATTAGGTACAGTAGTTGGTAGTGTTATATGCATTTAGGCAGATCATTTTCCGACTGTGACTTAGTTTTAGTAGGCATTGTGAAACCAGCTTTGTTATTTTCTGTGTGACCTCTACACATAGTACGTCTTGTTTCTGAAACACCTTTATTTTAGAATAAAGCTGGCCCTCACAGAACATATCAAAGATATTTGTTTTGTTTTCCTTCTCAGTGGCATAATTAGGCTATATAATAAGAATGGAACCACTGATATCTGATACCTCTGGGAAACTGTTTGGAGTTTGTTGTTATCAAGGCCATCTTTTGTAATTGAATACCTTCACTGAGTCTTTACAGATTACCATCCAGTCTTAAATAACTGTTTTCCCTTTCAACTCCAATTTTTCCAGTTGGTGGTTCAATGTGGGTCTGGTGCTCCTAGGGATTTGCCTGTCTCTGGCCATGTTTTGCATTGTGTACCTGGAGTGGTTCAAAGGCATCCAGCACTATGACCAAAAGTACCCTGCGATTCCTCCCATCACCACTGCAGCCTTCATTGCTGCATCATGCAGGTAAAACAGCCAAGAAAATGACTAGTACAGACTGCCTTAACATTCTGTAAATCTACCAATTTCCTAGTTTCCTAGTTCCTAGCAGTGTTTCCTATAGAATTAAATTGTAATTGTGGCAGTAGCTCTTGAGGAAGGGGGTGGGGGTGTCACACTTTCAGATTTTTTTAAAAAATTAAATATAGAAATGCTATAGTGCTGTTCATCTGACCTGTCCCTCCTACATCTCTCTCTTCAGCTATTTCTTCCTGACCCTGTCTTGGTGCCCCAGCAGCACTGGTTGAAACCAATAAATATTTTAATGAATCTGTTAGATTGCTATTTATATGGATCAGCTTCCCATGTGTGCTTTTCAGTATTCCCGTGGACCAAGGCGGTCAAACATTCAGTGTCAGAGTTTATGATCTAGCATAACTTTGTCCACTTGCAGAGCAGTCCATAAACATCCATCCTATATACATGCTGACCTTGGCAACAGCATATTAGAGGAGCTGGATCTCCACTCTTGAAGTAATGTGTTAAAAACAAAACAAACACTGAGGCTGTTCACAGATGGTCCGTCATGGTTGTCATGTGTTTGTGTGTGTGAGAGAAACTGGTGCATGGTAACACTGAACAGATAAAGTATTGTTTGAGACGCCAAAGAAAACAGAACAGCATTAGATTTATATTGTGACAACTTGACAAGTGTAAGGTAAGATACAATGCGATGTTATTAAACCCTAAGGGGGGAAGTTTATAAGACCTGCTTACATACTGTACATCTCCTTTTGAAATGTGCTTTAATTTAACAATTTCAAATTCTTTGGACATTTAATGAGATGTGAGATGACATTAGGTCATTGCACATATATGTTGCCCAAGTAACAAAAGATTGCAGTATAGAAACGACTGACATTTGACAAGTATTAGTTTTAGTTGTAAAATGTCCTGCTTAACACATTATTTGGCACAGTTCTTTAAAACCAAGGATTTTTTAAAATCAAAATGTGTTTATTTTATGTCTTTTAAAAAATGTGTATTGGCCGATATGTCTTTTTATGTTTTTTCAAAGTTTCAAATAGTGATATTGGTATCGGCCTCAAAAATCCAGTATGAACAGGCTTTTATCTGTCATGTTGAAAAACAAAAAGACATTCCCCAAGGTGCTGCCACAAAGTATAAACATACATTTGTGTAAAATATTACTTTATGCTGTAACATCACGATATTAATTTAATAGAGAATGTGAAGTAGTTGTCACATTGTGTTGAATTTTGAGTAAATGCACTATTTTGGTGGGATCACACTCATTAACCATCATAGATACAATATATACACTACAGCCATCCATTGTCTATACTGATTATCTATGCTGCTTATCCTGACAAGGGTCGTGGGGGGGCTGGAGCCAATCCCAGTTGACATTGGGTGAGAGGTGGGGTACACCCTGGACAGGTCGCCAGTCTATCACAGAGCTGACACATAGAGACAGACCACTACATACATATATAAGTTAATTTAAAAGCTTTTGGGTTTGGCCCTCGGCTGTCCCGGGGCTTTTCTGTGTGGAGTTGGCATGTTCTCCCTGTGCCTGCGTGGGTTCTCTCAGAGTAATCTGGCTTCCTCCTGCAGTCCAAAGACATGCATCTTAGGTTGATTGGCGACTCTATATTGCCTGTAGGAGTGAGTGTAGGTGTGTATAGTTGTCTGTCTCTAAGTGTCAGCCCTGTGATAGACTGGTGACCTGTCCAGGGTGTACCCTGCCTTTCACCCAGTATCAGCTGGGATAGGCTCCAGCCCCCCACAACTCTTGTCAGGATAAGTGGTATAGATGATGAATGGATGAATCTCTTACAGCTACATACCGTAGCGGGTGCTTCAGCTATGTCCAGTGTCTTCTTTAGTGTTCAGTTTGAGCACAGACAGGACAGAAATTGATTAATCTACACTGTTTGTGTTATCTGCCGACAGCTGCTAGCTAACGTTAGCTCCCAAACCAAGAGCTGAGATCAGGGTACAGAGCTACTCTCGTCAGTGGGATCTCTAGGTCCGCTATGAGTTAGCTACAGTCAGCTAAGGTTGTCCATTCTGAATTACCACAGTTAGGAAAGTAAGATTGAATTGATTTAAAGAACCTTTTAGCCAAATAAAACAAGAGTGTATGCAGGTAAATATAGCGTCTGCTCCCAAAATGGAGCCCTCATCCCAACATTCAACACGGCATGATGTATCTTCACATTCTCTATTGAACTAAGGGGCATTCAGGGCTGTGGGGTAGGCCTTTGGTTTGGCTTTGAGTTTGTGCCTTTGGCTTTCTAAATGCTCAGCTTTTTACACCAACCATTTTGGCTCTCTGATGTTTCATGGAGCTTTAGAGCCCCTGTGTGTCCATTGTACATTCTCACAGGTGACGTAGTTTGCCTGATTAGACTTCTTCTCAGGACAGTGTTGACATTTGCAGACTGTACTGTCTCAGGTTCCTGTCTAATTAGCCGTAGTAAATGAAAACACCTGCGTGGTTGTGTAATATTATAAACCCACTTAAGAAATCTGCTTGTGTTCTTGGTAAGATTGGTTGCACTAAATTGTCATAGGCTTTATTTTAATTGCCTGTAGAATAAACAAGATGCAGTTACTTATCCAGCCACTGACAGTGTGCACTGTAGTTTTGTAGAAACTCACATATTATTAACACAAGTGAAAATCCATCTATAATGTCTCTGTTTACCAGTGACAATCAGGACAGACTATGAGTTAAGAGTAATTTTTAGATTTGCAACAGTAGAAGGTGGGGCCTTTGCTATATTTCTTTTCATCAGCATCTATTCATTGTTAACTGTGGGACTGTGGTTGATGAGGGCTGAGTTACAGCAATGATCATGACTGTTAGTAGCTTTATTCATCACAGGTGAGTTGTTAGCTAGGGCATTTGTGTTGTTCCTGGCTAATGCTGTTTATTTAATCTCTTAGCATCCCAACAGTTACATGCATCGTTGGGCCACTTAGCTTTTTTATGCCTCTGTGATGGCGACAGCTGCAGCCAGAGGCGTTACGCTTTTGAGTTGTCTGTTTGTAAATGATATTTGTCATTCTCTTGCAGCTTTAACGTAGCACTGTGGCCAGTGTGGTCCTTCTTCACTCCACTCATCCTCTTCACACAGTTTATGGGTGTAGTCATGTTCATCTCTCTGCTTGGATGAATGTGACAGGTGAGGATGTACTTTAAATTGAACTGTGCTGTGATGTTATACAAGATGTGCTTTCATTGAATGAACAACATGTCTTTAAATTGCTGACCATATTGTATATATGACATGAAATTAAACAAGTTTATTTAATATCATCTTCTTTTTTGTTTTGAAGCTTCAGAATTGCATCTTGTTAAATACAATGTAGAGTTCAGTTTTTCTCTGTTTCATACACAACCCATTTCTCACTTCATACGGTAAATACACCTTGAAAAATACTCATAGAAACTCCTGCCTTATCTTTTCAAAAACTTGCCATAATCTTATACTGCTATCAATCAATCCACACACATTATTTTTTGGAAACAATTTTATCAGCTCTAAACACAATGCTCATCATTTAAAATGCAACTGTCATTCTGTGTAAGGGAAGTGTTTGGTAGATAAACATTCAAAGTCTGCAGTATTGGCCTTGTGAAACTTTATTCATAGTAAACTCTGTTCTTACATACATATACATTCAGCTTGCACCCATACAGCTGTTGTCATCCTGCACTCATGGTTTTGGCTGGTGCATGTTGGCATCATCGCATCATTGTGGTGTTGGTGTCCTGAGAGCTGAGCAGTTTCACTTTGAGTTTTCATTGTGGTGCTTTCTTCAAAGAAAAATTGTAATTAATGATTGCAACTAAGAAATCCAATGCATTGTGTTTAGTGTTTGGCCAAGAGTGCATAAGAGTTCTGAAGTAATGAATACTTTGAGTGTAGGCCTTTCTCACAGCAGACATTTTGACTTGTAATGGTAGGAAAACAATGGATCTGTTCTGTTCCCAGGAAGCCATGATAGATTGGCGGGGTTTAAGAGTTAGATTTAAGTTCAAACAATGTTAATAAATGTTATTTTTATTAAAGTGGTTGGTGGTGAACTTCTGCAGAATGCTTTTGTCTTTAATAAAGGTTTATAAGGTTTATAATTTCAGTAACCGTGTAACATTGTTATTGACAAAGCACAACTGAACAATACATTCATTTAATGACTAGAACAGTGCAAGATTACAAAGTTGGAACTAAAACCTCTCCTAAATCTAGTCTAGACCTGGCTTACTTAGAGGGTTATCTGTGATAAAGATATTTTAAACTTTATCGCATGTTAAGTTTCTCTTTTTTGCACTTTGACATTTTACACATATCAACAGTACATAACACTACGTTCAACTAAGGTATAATTCACACTCACTTATTAGTTTATAGACCTTTCAAATCTAATGTAATCCAGTAGTCCAGTGATTCATTTTAGGTTTGTGAATCTTATAATACTTTTGTTTTTGACTCTATCAGAGAGAGGCTGAAGGAAATGTATTATCACTTTTGATGTCCTTCTTACTGGTGACAAACCAACCATTTGTGTTGTTTCTAATTTTTGCCACCTCACATTTATTCAGAAGGTAGAAGAGTCTTCTAATAAAAAGAGGTGGAAAGGAACTATATTCAAAGCAAATAAAAAATGTAAAATTGTGTTTAGGAGTGTAGCAGTACTATTAACATACTCTATCACAAGAAAATGTCTTGAAATTAAAATTTTACTTATATAAAAGTACAGTTTTCTTTAGAAAATGTACTGGAATATTGGAAGTGTTTATGCAGAATTACCCCTTTTAGAGTATTATATATTCTGCATCATATTTTCATCTTTGAACTTATCAAAGTGGAGCTGAATTTAACCTTTTTAAGGTATATTCTGTTGGGCTTTGATGTCATATCCTATTTATTCAACCTATTTATATAAGCTCTTCAAAGTAACTGCTTGCTATGACATTTCAGCAAAATTTCCGTATGAAATTTGTGGAGCAGGGTATAAATAACGTAGTAGCCTATTAAAAGAAAATTGAAATTATCTTTAACTGTGTGTTTGAAGGTGACAGTATGCCTACAGCTTTTTACGGGACATTAATCGTGCTCTTAACGATGTGTCCTCAAACTGTATTCAGAATCAGATTGTTTTAGGAATGCTCCTAAAGTGCAAACGACAGAATATTTCCGAATCCAATCAAAATGTTTAAACATTATCAATCGCCCATTAAAGTTCCTTGATAATGAATAGACCACTCTTTTTTCTTTATCGCGCCGATAAAGAAACAATCGATGCTCAGCTGTTGCACTGAGATGCGCTGTTAAGGAGCGTTTGACGCGCACATGACAGCTGCGCGTGTGGATGTTGTTTCCTCCACGTGCCAGTATCTCTCATATGCTAACGTGCCCAAATAAACAGAACCGTTATTTGAGTATGTATTCAGTGACAGTCGGGTGTGGCAGTAATGTATGAAGCGACCGGCCTATAACGGTCGGTCGGTCAATGCGCTCGCGGACAAACCGCTCTGCTCTGTGTAATGCGCTATTATCCCTCGTGCGTCTTCGTTATGGCGTCGACTGAGTTGATTTAGCTTCCTGAAACAGGGTTAGGCTATCCTCACTAAAGGCTTCTCGGAAAACATTACGTAGGTAAGACAGACAAATACAGAAGATTGTTTATTATAGCATAGTTTTTACATGACCGCATTTGTAGGAAACAATCACGGATAAAATTATTATATATATATGTCGGAAATTGATATTGAGCTACACTTTGTGCTATTTAACCACCAAATATCCGCAAGGACTCTAACCCTTTTTTTTTACCAACCCCCAACCACTTGGCCCATGTGGCTTGTTTAAGTTCTTAAAAATGCGTTTTGAATCCAAGCTGCATGACTCAAGAGTTCCGAAGGACTGAGAAGACTTCTAAAGCATAATAGGTGATATTGTTAAGGCATTTTTCTGTTAATTTTATTAACCACATAGGCGCGCACATCACAGGAGAAACTGAAGGGAACAATGTGAAAGGAACAATGTAGAAGCTTAGTTTATCAAATTTAAAATATGTTAAAAATATAGGCCTAGTTCTGTTGTCTATGTGCTGAGAATTTAAAAACAGAACAGGCCTTTTAAATGTATTAAACGTCTGCAAAGTTCAGATAATTGTGTAGCCTTTTTATTTTATGGAATAATAATAGTAGACTATTATCATGGAATATATGCCTAGTTTGAAATTTGTCATATTAAAATGACACCTAAATACAATTTCAGGTAGACAATTTTTCTGAAATTGATCAGTAAAATGCCCCCAATACTGTTCCAGCCCGCTCCTTAAATCACGGGGCACTAATCACCTCTCAGTCCGCAGACTTTAGGCCCATTGTGCGTATCCGCCCAAGTTACATTGTTTTATCTGTAAGAGCTTTTTGTGCTGATGGTGTCAGTGTTCTTCCACTTGACAAAAACCCACTCACAAAACCCCATTATTGGTTTAACCACTGAAATTCGATTCTTTTTTTTCTGCCTTGAAAACACCAGGCCTCAGCCACAAGTGGACATACGGGTTTGAGGAGGTGGCGCTTGGATGTGAAGCGCATTGTGTCAGGGCAGGTCACTTGCTCATACCCTGTAAAAATCGCGTGCTTGTGGAATCTCATCTTCTTTTTAATCTCACCTAGGCCTTAACACCCGATAGCCACCCAGGGAGGGTTTCAGCAGACTTGGAAAGATTGTCTGGCAGCTGCCCTGGAGAGGTGGATTTGGGTGACGCTCGTTCTGTGGATAATTCCGTTCTGAGAGGTCTTTGCTTCTTTGGGTGGTCAGTGTTTGGCACACCAAGTCCATTGATTTCTCTGAAACATATGGGAGTGCCACTACCAAAGACTGACACGCAATCTACCATTTTCAATGACTCAGTGAGCCTGTTACATGTATCCAGGTAGGCTATTATAGTTTCAAGGTTATAAGATGACCGTGGCATCGAACAAATCCATCCTCGGCGAGGCTGGACATTGAGACTCTACATGGCCACTGACCCGGACTATGAAGATTGAATGAGCATGTTTGGCACCATACCTATCCGTCTGAATTCCCACCTTGTGGCAATAGGATGCGCAGCTACCTCCCTTAAATGCACTTATAGCGCGCTGCTTTGACTTTACCCTTCTCTCGGAGCTGCAGTTTCTATAAGTGTCCCCATCATGGATGAAGACAGTGGCGTGGATATCATGTCTTTGAACAAGTACAGTAACAGTTCCTCCTCGTCGTCCAGCTCAGAGCACGACAAGAAGACTCCTGCCAAAATAGAGCACTATCCAAAGAAGAACGCAGAAATCATTAGCTGTCAGTACGGGACCAATTTGCTGCTTGTCGGGATTGCGTTGTTGCTGGCCAATGCCACAGCTTTACCAATTGTCGAAGAAAAGCACCTGCTGTCATATATTACCAGCCTCATGATCCTCCAGCTGATCTGGATGCTGTGGTACGTTCTGTTGCGGAACAGACGGAAGAATACGCGCACCGACAGAGATATCCATGTTACCACAGCCTGGATAAGAGGTGGGTTTGTAAGATTACGCGCAGGATTACAACAGTAAATGCGTAAAGTTCCAAATTGATGTTATTCCTTACTATGTTTTGTGGTTTCACAAATGAAAGAAAGCCTGAAAATTGAGTTGCAGCCAAAGTAAACAGATTTTATAATCAGCCCCAATAATAACTTCATCTTTATGTCTTGTTTCTGGTTAGGTGGTTTAACTGTCCTTGCATTTATTTCTCTGATAATGGACGCTTTCCGAGTCGGGTATTATGTTGGCGGCCATTCTTGTGTGTCGGTGGTGCTCGGGGTATATCCTGTCATCCATGCAGTTCACACTCTAGCACAGGTAAGTTTACAGCCTCATTTTAATTTCGATGAAGTGATCATCTTTCATCAGCAGTGGTGAAGAAGTTCTCGGATCCCTTAAGTAGAAGTAGCAGTACAACAGTGTAAAAATACTCTGTTACAAGTACAAGTCCTGCATTCAAAATGTTACTTAAGTAAAAGTCCAAAAGTATTATCATCAAAACATACTTAAAGTACTAAAAGTAAATGCACTCATGCAAATTGGCACATTTCACATTAATGTATATCATATTATTGCAATACTGATGCATTACTGTGTACATCACGTTTAATATTGCATCTGGTAAAGGGGGAGCTAGTTTTAACTAGCTTATATGTTAATAATCATATACTAATAATTTGGAGTACATCTGGGTAATTCAAATTATTCTACCAGGTATCAATAATGCCTTATGATTATTCTGGATTATTCTGTTTTTTTGTATTAATCTGGTTATGAAAAGTAACTAGTAACTTAAATTATAAAATAAATGTAGTGGAGTAATAGGTGCAATACCTGCCTCTAGCGAAGTCAATGTATGAAGAAGCATTTAATGAATATATTCAAGTAAAATACAGATACCTTAAAATTGTATTTAAGTACAGCATGTGAGTAAATGTACTCAGTTACTTTCCACTCTTGTTCAGAAGTGTTAGATGCTGCATATTGCTTTTTTTTCTGTGTGCCACTTAACCATGTAGGTCTTTGAATAATGTGCTCTTTGTTACTGAGGCAAGAAGAGAATCAGTGCGACAATATAATCCTGCTATTGTCCTGAGTGTAACTAAGAAAGGCACTGAAATCATACAAAATGTGTGTTATATTTTGGATGCTGTTTTGTCAAGTCACTTATAGTAAGGTTTTGTGTCTTCTGTTTGGTGTTTTACATAGGTGCATTTTCTCTGGTTTCACATCAAGGATGTGATCCAAAGCTTACAAACATTTGAGAGGTATGTGACATATGTGATAATATAAATAACACAACTTTAGATGTTGCCATATAGCCTATTTATGAATCATAAAAAACACTGATATTAGATTTGTGAAACATCTCACTAGTGCCTAAAGAATGTGAAATCTACATGTATACACATCGAGACAAACTTTATCATAACACTCTCACATTCTATTAAGATGGTGGGTCATCAGCCTTGTTTCCAACTGTTTGTCTCCTCAGATTTGGTGTAATTCATTCAGTCTTTACCAACCTCCTCCTGTGGTGCTATGGTGTGGTGTCAGAAGCTGAACATTACATGAACAACCGTATGAGAAGACTCTCTAACATGGGCTTCATAAACTTCACTATAGGTAAGGGCCAAGGGGCCAATTGCTGGCTTGTACCTAGAAGAAAAGTACAATAGTCCATTTGAGGTCTCACTTCAATGGATGAAAGAAAACGGAAGGAGAGAAGGGTTTGCTAGGGGAAGGGAGGTTAGCCAGCAGGCCCAGTGGGTCTTGTTTGTGTCGAAGGTCTCACTATTAGGTTTCAGGAGACACACAGTGTTGTTAGTGCTGAAGCCCCCTCCCTGGCCCTTTCCCCACTTTTCAACCACTACCACCCTCCCTGGCAGCCCCCCACTTGACCTCAGACAGCTTTGTACCTAGGATACTTACTCCCAAGGGTGCTGCAATTACAGTAACTGATACAGCTAAGCCTAGGGTTGGGGGGTTCGACCGCTTCTCCTCATATCCGGCTGACTTTGAGGCTGGCTGCACCCTGGCTGTTGTTTCCTTTTTAATTAAAGGGTGCAGGACCATAGTGGTTGCCTCTGGGGGCTGATGGGTGGAGGGGCACACGTCAGGGTTTTGTTGAGATGACCTCTCAAGGGCAACGGCATTACCATGTGTGATGGTCTTTACATAGAGAGAGTTAAGTATAAAAGTGTTTATAAAGTGCAAGGTCATCAACATCTCAGATTCAGCTTGGTAATGAATATTGACCATCAGTGGCTAAGATAGATATTATGGAGTTTCCACTGGAAAAGATACAATTTTAAAGAAACAAAACATGATTGAAACTTTGAAACCACACTACAGTAAAAGTAACTGGCTTTTACAGCTGCTTCAAATCTTACAACTCCAACTCAGAAAAGGTTGGGACAGTATGTAAAATCTAAATTAAAATTGAAAATAATGATGTGTAAATCATCTGTGTCCTGTATTACATTGAAAACAATACAGCAGAAAATTATTTGATGTGATACTTCATCAATTTTATCTTTGTTAAAAATAAACACTCCAATTCTGATGCATGCAACACATTCCAGAAAAGCTGGGACAGTCAGATATTTACCATGGTGTGATGCTACTGTTCCTTTTCACTACACTTAAAGAAAGTTTAGGAACTGAGGACACCAAGTGATTAAGTGTGTCAGGTTTCATTTTGTCCAGTTCTTCCTGCAAACAAAATGAATTTTAAAGAACTGCACACAGAAAATCGTTATTACACATTTGTACGTCTAGGTTTTATTTGTAGATTACTGACCACACATTTGTGGCCTTCATGAGACACACAAATGGCTTTTTACAAATTTGTAGCCAAGACTCTATTTGTAAATCACCATTTACGCATTTGTGGCTACGTATGAGAAGATTTTACATCATATATGTTCCTCTATCCTCGAGTTTACTTGAAGGATCCAGTTCCAGATTCAGGTAAACAAGGTAACAGTTTAAAGTGAACAAGTTTTAATAATAGTGAACCAGATTTTAGTAATAACAACTGGAACAAAGACAGAGGCTGAGTCAAACCCCAGAAGGAAAGCTAGGGGTGGAAACAAGACCAAGACTGAGATCATTCAACACTTAGAATGGTTTCCTTAAACACTTCAGATTAGGCCAGTTCAGTGGTTGTTTTCAGTCATTCAGCATGGCTGAATGACTAACTTTGTCTTTGTGAAGTGCAGTATATTACTCTTTGACCTGTACACAATGAAGTACTGGCATTATTTAATTTAAACTTGTGAGATCCTATAAACCATTGCTAGTGTATAACAGATTTACTTTTTATTCTATATTAAGTGTTTTTCTAATATTTATGTTTGTGTGTCTTTTGTGCCAGTACAGTATTGTGTCCTATAAATGGATGTGATTCATTAATATTGTCTTACAAGATAGACAAAGTGTTGAGGTAGGGCTGCTTTTGCCATCTCTCATGCATTTGTATCTATTTGGATTTGCTTTGCAGTGGATCCAGAGCTTCTCTGTAACTGCACCGCCACCACTTGCACCCTATTCTACAAGAGCCTCTCCTATCTTTTTCCCTTCTGCATTGAGTACCATGTCATTGTCTCTGCAATGCTCTTTGTTATGTGGAAGAATATTGGACGGACCACTGACCTTTCACACAAGAAACGGTTGGCTACTAAAACCCACTGCCTCATCACAGGACCTTTTCTGGGTCTGGTTGCCCTTGCCAGCACTATCGGGGTTATGGTAGTCTACCTCATCCATACTGAGCAATCCATGGAAACACGACAGACAGCCATTTCCATATTCTACATTTATGCTATCATCTTACTCACACTCATGTGCTTTGCTGGTGTTGCGGGTCTACTCATATACCGAGTGGACCACAAACCACCAGACACCTCCAAGAACCCATCCAGAGAGCTGGACACAGAGCTCCTGTTTGGATCCTCTGTCGGTGCCTGGCTAATGTCTTGGTGCAGCATAGTGTCTGTATTAAGCACCAGTAGCAACCCTCCTTACATCTGGATGAACTTCACCTACTCTCTTCTTATTGTGTTGGAGAAGTACATCCAGAACCTCTTTATAATAGAGTCTCTTTACCGCCACAAGGAGGATGGTAAGAAGGAGGACCCAGAATTACCACCTTCTCCAGAAACTTTCTCAGTGACTCCCCCTTTGCCCTTGCCGTACAATGGCATCATCAACCAAGCTTATGAGACTCCAGACATGGCCTGTGTCACCTCAGAAAATGAGCAGAATGACAGATGTTCGAGGAAACCAGTGGAGGCGCCGCAGCCTACAGGCCGCGACTTAGTGGAGCCTTCAAATGTAAAGAAGCTGATCCTGAAGAACATTACTGTGTTCCTGGTAATGTGCAACATGTCGGTGAGTATGTCAACTAACTATTTGATGCATATTTTTGGTTCTTAATAGAATGTGTATGTGAATGCAAATCACATTGATACAACCACATTTCCAGTTTGAGCTGGAAAAACTCAATAATGTAAAGTGACTTAAACAGTAAAATAAGGCAAGTGTAAATGAAAATGCCAAGAAAACGAGTTCAACAAACTTTATTGAAGTCAGAGCATGAATCACAGCAGACTTGATTGAGTAATTTATAAAAGGACTGATCAGACAGTTTTTAACATTTACCCACTCTTCTCACATCAAATCCCATACCACATTTCACCTAACAAAATTAATTAACTGAAGAACAAATATCATAATTCAATCATTTATGTTGAATAACTAAGTAGTTCTTCTTACTTCCTACAGCAGAGTAAATTTAACCATAGTTTAAACTTAATCAAAAGCAAAGGTAAACAATCAGAGATATCAGACGCTCTATCACCCAAAACTTTACACCACATTAACACACAGGTTGCCAGTAATCACAGTGTCCAAAATGACAAATTGTGACTATTTTACAGTGCCACTCGATGCCTCAATCATAAACACAGTTCATTAAACAAGGATTTTCAAAGGAATTCCTCACGAAAAAGAGGCAGACACTTAACTCAGGAGCTGATGAAGACCAAAACAGAGCTAAAATGATTAGTAAATGAAGGGTAAAGATGGGGGGCTGAAGCTGGGACCAGCCGAGACTGGGTGGAAGGCAAGAGTACATCCTGGACAAGTCGCCTGTCTATCACATAGCCTACACATCAAAACAGATAACTGCTCACACTCACATTCACACCTACGGGCAATTAAGAGTCCCCAAGTGCAGGTATAATTAATATAATCTCTTTCTTGCAGCTGTGGATCCTTCCTGCCTTTGGCTGCCGGCCACAGTTTGACAACGGGCTGGAACAGGAGATATACGGCCCCAACAAATGGATCACAGTTCTCAATTTTGCCATTCCTTTGAATCTTTTCTACCGCATGCACTCAGTTGCCTCACTTTTTGAGGTGTTCATCGAGGTCTGACAGAATAGCAGAAAAGTGACAATGCCAGATAACAGGCACAAGAACACGTGCCACCACCGGCTCCCCAGAGTGTCTTATAGCACAGGTCAACCATTCAGGGCGCAGTTTGGATCAAACTCCAACAGACATGAAAGCAAGCCGTGGAGATAAACAAAACATAGATTCCTCATTGTTGTGAAGACCTAGAACCTATTAGCCTGCCTTTCTCAAAGAATTAGCTTATATAATGTAAAGCTTATTAAAGAGAAAAAAAAACAATTTTTTAAAGAATTGAAAAAAGGGCCCTTTGTACTTTGCTCTGTAGTTACATGTTAGTTTTTTTTTCCTGGTGCATCATGTAAAATGTATATTCTGTATCTGGCACCCACATTTTGTGTTGCTTCCTATTAGTAACGGAAAGTACAGACTGGTGACAAATTATAAAGGAAAAACCTGAATAAATGACATGCATGACGGTCCCCCATCCACAGGACATCTGGTGTTACCATTCATTGACCACTTTATGTTGGTTTTTCCTTTATTTTGTCTCCCATCAGTATATAACAAACTATTTAGTTGAGTTTTATATTTGAATATACCACAATGAAGCCACTGAAATGCTTGTTATTGAAAAATATCCAACAAGGTAATATTACTGTTTCACAGAGCCACCAGTGCATCAGTGCACCCTTAAACCATATTTCATCTGCATTTTAAATGTGAAGACTCTACATGAATAAGGTTCTCATTTACTCAGTGGTTCAAATAATTTAATAGACGTTATGCAACACTTAGTGACAGTCTTTGAATTGTACTATATTATGAATAATGTTTATGGGTTCTCACCTGCCTCTCTTGGTCACATAAGGCTCATCATTATCCTCTGGCATACTGAATTTCTCTTCTGCTGAGCTGAATGGAAACTTTTGGTCTGAAATATGTTACTGGGTAGCACTCTTTTGATTACACTGAAGTGCAGTGATCTGTATTGACACTAATACAACAAACTTACAGACAGAAAATATTTCCATCCTATAAACGGATCACATTGAGACTTCATGGATGTTAACATGAGAAGGAGCTGGTTTACATTAATGCTGTTCAAATCAAGTACACTTCTATTGTTAAAAGTGGGTATCTTTTATCAGAATTACACCAATATAAAAGATGACACATATTCGGGGGCGGCTGTGGCTCAGGAGGTAGAGTGGGTCGTTTCCTAACCGGCGGATTAGCGGTTCGATTCCCAGCTTGTCCAGTCAACATGTTGAAGTGTCCTTGAGCAAGACACTGTACCCCCAGTTGCTCCCGGTGATGTCACCGGTGTGTGAGTGTTTGGGAGTGTGAATGGGTGAACAGCCAAATAGTGTGAAAGCACTTTGAGTGTGCTGTAAAGCATAGAAAGGTGCTATACAAATATAAGACCATTTAAGACAATTTACCATATGGCATGACAACTGCTACACCAGACCACTACTTGCTGTGTTCTGATAAAGCACAGATACTCTATGATTGTACTGTACAACTTTATATCAGATCAGTGTATCATTTCAGTCAGACGTCCAGTAAGTTCTCAACCTGGTGCTATCCACTGTAGCCTGTGGGTTCTCACTATGTGCCATGTTGTCAAATCCTTGTTTTTAGGTAAAAACTGCAATATTACTGTTCATCATCTATATAAATAGTGCCATGCTGATCAGAATCATCCAGACACTGTGATACAGTTTTGTGAAATTCCATTGAAAATGTGATCATATGAAACTGTGTAGAGGACTGATATCTTTGTACTGTAGAAATAAAGAATAGTTTTCTTTTTGTCCTATACAAGACCTGTCACATCACTTAAGCTGTATACCTGTATGTTATCTGTTTAACAAGAACCAAAAAAAGTTCTCAGGGATCGTCTCAGATTGTCTGCAGCCTTTTAGCTGAACTTCTAGATAGGATGGAATTGTAGTAGACCTTTGCACCACATGATGGCGCCATTTCCTCCCCCCAAAATTTGATGAGACTCTCCAAAAGCTCCTGAACTACAGACAACTGCTTGGATTATTGTACCATCACTATTTTTATAGTCATCACTATTTTTATACCTGCTGTTTACAAAATGTATAACAATATAATTCACATCACGGCACAGCTCAATTAGGCTCATAGGAAACAAAATTATCCCAATGAATGAATGAATGAATCTCACAAGTTCAAAGCTAATGCTCTTCAAAGCTGTGACTTAGGCATTAGCCTATATTTTAACTCATAATGATCTGGTAACTATCTTGAAAACAAAGCGTTGCATAAATGTTAAATAATAGATAATAAATAATATAAAAGGTAAAACATTAAATATATTTTTATTAGTTTTTTTTTTCAGTAAAAACGTTTGTACAGATATTGTCAATTAAATTATAAAGTTGCACACATTTTTGTACTTCTTTTGCATAATTTGAGTTCAGGGATTTACAGTATTAGAATTCGTTAAGCATTAAAATGGATTGGGATTTCATAACCCAAGATTGCTGTAGACATTTTCGGGCGTCTGGAGGTTCTTTTGACGTCATGTCAGCCCGATTTGATGGGCACGCAGGCACATCTAAAAATATCCGTGACGTTCCAAGACCGGAAGCGGCGATGCTGCCATTTACGTTGCACAGAACTAACGAAGCAGATCGGGCGCGGGTCGTGGCATGACATGCCCACCGAGTGTGAATGTGATTTACCTGTCCAGGCAGCTCTGAAAGCTGGGTGAGCTGACCTCTAGCCGGCGGTCGTCACAGGGCAAACGACCACCAGGATTCATTCTGAAAAGAATTTTTAATAGTCTGTTATATTTAAAAATAACCACTGGCTGTTTTTATTGAAGTGCATGCAGCAAAATGAACCTGTAGATTTTTTTTTCAAGCTGAAAACGCATTAAAAATATTTCTGGTGGTTCTGCAATGCACCGGAGCTCTGTTTTCATGTGGGTGATAGGACCGATTATGGTGCTCACATGAATTAATCTCGATAGATAGATAGGCGTGTCTGCTTGATGAAAGCACTGTGAAGGCAACGTGCCCCGGGCCATTTGCTTATTCAGTACCATGGACAGCTCTGTAAGCGCTATTATTGTAGGCCACACAGTTCAGACTACAATTACAGTGCCTTGATTATAATTAATATGTGAACTGGCTGTGTTAGTGTGTAACCTATATACAGAACCTAGAATAAATTTTAAATACACCCAGTAGCTGCTTATTAATATCTATGTCTCACATTGTACAGAAACTCACCATGTTGTCATTCCTATCATTGCAGAACTAATGCGCACAGGAGAATATAGACAGTCTCCATGGTAGAAAGCGCTCAGCTGTTTTAATTTAAGTTCTAATTACGCACTTTGGAGCTTTCGGAGATTTCACCAATGACAAACCCTCAACTTGATGATTGCTTCCTCACACCCCTATTCTAACGCAGGGCACTGTCGTGCGTAACACAACGAAAGACACACGCGTGATGGTGTATGAGCCCAGTGTATATCGGTATGTAGGAACTCCTTCCTCACTTTGGACTGAGAGATCCACACAGGCAGCTAGGTCGGAGGACCACACCGGCAAGGCTGCAACATGCGCTCAGGACTGCGTGCTGCGTTTCAGTCCCTAAGCGCACCTGGCACGTCGCTCGGCTCAGTTTTAAGACGCCCACTTCTCTCTTTCGTTTTGCTTTGCACTCTACATCAGACTTGCAGCCGAGGAGATCAATGGGGACAATACTGTGAGTGGCTGATGACTGCGCCTGTCCCCGCGCACAAAGGAATGGACTGCAGTTTTACTTGAAAAGGCTCATGGAGAATTCAGCCAAGTATCTCCCATCGGTGCAGGGGACTGACTCTGTGCCATCACCCCTCGGAGAGATTATGTGGAACAGCACCGAAACGGAGGCAACAAGCGATGGGAGAAAGGATATGATTGTGCGTACGGTGACGGGCTGTCTGTTGTTCTTGCTCATCCTATGGACCCTGCTGGGGAACATCCTGGTTTGCTCCGCGGTGCTCCGCTTTCGGCATCTGCGGACCAAAGTCACCAACATTTTTATCGTGTCTCTGGCTCTGTCTGATTTATTCGTGGCCGTCCTGGTGATGCCCTGGAAGGCTATAGCAGAGGTGGCAGGGTATTGGCCATTTGGCACTTTCTGTAATGTCTGGGTCGCTTTTGACATTATGTGCTCCACCGCCTCCATCCTCAACCTCTGCATCATCAGCGTGGATAGATACTGGGCCATTTCTAGCCCCTTTCGCTATGAGAGGAAAATGACCCAGCGAGTTGCCTTTGTTATGATCAGCATCACTTGGACGTTGTCTGTGCTCATTTCATTCATACCGGTACAGCTAAACTGGCACAAAGCCAGCGGTGACGAAATGGCTGGGACGCACAACTCTACCACGAGTCGGCACATGGAGGAAAACTGCGACTCCAGCCTGAGCAGAGAGTATGCTATATCCTCCTCTTTGATAAGTTTCTATATTCCCGTGGCAATTATGATTGTGACTTACACTCGAATATACCGGATTGCACAAATACAAATTAGAAGAATAGCCTCCCTGGAGAGAGCGGCAGAACATGCGCAAAGTTGCAGGAGCAACAGAATAGAGTGCCAACACCATAACACACTGAAAACGTCGATTAAAAGGGAAACCAAGGTGTTCAAAACTCTGTCGGTGATTATGGGTGTCTTTGTGTGTTGCTGGTTACCTTTCTTCGTCCTAAACTGCATGGTCCCGTTCTGTGACCGTCCGGCAACAGAAAGGGACACAGGTCTGCCGTGCGTCAGCGAAACGACGTTTGACGTTTTCGTGTGGTTCGGCTGGGCCAACTCCTCCCTGAACCCCATCATTTACGCATTCAACGCCGAGTTCAGGAAGGCCTTTGCCAGCCTCTTGGGCTGTCCGTATTTCTGCTCTAACACACCAGTAGAAACTGTAAACATCAGCAACGAGCTGGTCTCGTATAACCAAGATACCCTCATCCACAAGGAAATCGCCAACGCCTATGTCAACATGATCCCCAACGTGGTCGAATGTATAGAGCTCGAAGAAACGTTTGACAGGATTTCACAGTTTTCTCACAACAACGAAAACGCCACCGATTCGGTTTGTGACTTGGAGGATTGCGAGGCTGATATCAGTCTTGACAGGATGTCACCGTTCACACCCAATGGATTACATTGACTCCCACTTTGTCTCCCCGTGTGTAATTGGATGTATTGTTAATAATGTTTATGCTCGTTCAGCTCTTTTGCCCGAGAAGCTCCTCTCCACAGGAAGCCCAAACATCAGGCCCCCCCCAGGCTAATGAGCAGTGCCCCTTGTAGCTGCTGAGAGATCTGGTCACTTGCTCATGGACACTTATTTAAGGCGCATGTTTCTGCACCACCAGGCCACCCTGCCAACGCTTTGCATCATATATGAGATGTGATGTTGTCCTGTTCTTAAAAAAAGAAAACACAGTTGATGTTTATTTGCCTGACAAGTGAAGTCCAGTGTTGTTCAAGTTGTTGTTTACTCAAACGCTTTATTAGGATCATCCCTGTCTCATGTCCATCCACTTGGAAGGACACACATTTATAAAGACTTACTGAGGATTCATAAAGGGAGCCTTTTGCTGCTTAATGACCTCATATGTATCCAATGCCCGCCTTTCCACTGAGAATGAAAATAAGGGCAGCCTTACAGACAGTGCAACCAAGGTAGTTCTACTCCAGTGCATTCATTTCAGCGCCTTAAAGCTTATTTAAAGAAGTATTTTGAGACATGAAAGGAATGTGTCAAATGTAGTTAAGTTACATGATGCCAAAATGCAGTACTGAAGTGTTTACCCACTGCACCCACCCCGGTGACTCCTCAACATGCCTGTTCTGCACCACATGGACTATTATGCACTTTGAAAATTGCCAGAGGACGTGACGGAGTACAACCTGAAGGAAAATGCACAAAATGGAACTGTGAGCCTGTTTATACTGGCATCACTGATCCAAATCGAAGAATTGTGACTAGAATAAGCAAAGTCATTTTTATCAAAACTGTTAACTGTTTTTATTTGATCAATGTTTCTGCTTTATCAACCACAGGCAACTCAAACTGAATAAACAAAAGGTCAGAAAGAATCAAGACTGTCCTAAATGACCAAAGATTTCAAGGAGTGAATCAAGAATTCTGACACAATAAAGGTAAAGCATTTTGTCAACTAGACAAATTGTTGCTATAGAGCAGCCTATAGGCCACTGAGCCAACACAACTGGATTTCATACATCACCTCTCCTACACCTCTGTACTGTACAAATGACTTGATCTGAATGTATCCTGCTGTCCTGTCAACAGTGAAGTGTGTCATCATTTGTCTAATAAAATGCTGATATGTGCTGAGGAACAGAGTGTGTTGGTATCTCCCTGAAATTGTCATTAGTTTTTAGAAGTTTCACAAATTAACACACTTTACAGAGATGGAGAATTTTCACCCGTGACCTGTTCTTTTTCATTTAATTTTTTTTTGTGCCAAGTTTGATGGTGAATGTTGGTGGTGAATGGAAATGTTAATAAAGAAACATGGAGTGAGGGATGCGAGGGATGACATGCAACAGAAGTCACCAGAAGACTCAAACAAGGGACACTCTGATTATGTATTGTGTACAGTTTACTGTCCACCAGGAGTCTGACCTGCCTTTCACAGGTTCAGATAGAGAAGTTTGTATTCTGCTGATGAGAGCGTCACAGTTAATAAAAAAGAGCGATGGTTTTGTAACATACCCTGAGTTCTTCATGTTGGCATCTATTCTTGGCCACATAACTTTACTCTTTATGTTTTTAAATCAGTATCAATAATTAATAGAAACAGCCCCCTTATACAGGTACCTAAAGAAAACACAATACCTCAGTAACACCACATAGCCGAACTGCCAACTGACAGCCATCTGTCAGTTCAGCCTTTGTGCCAACAGAAAAGAAAACCCACTTTGTGGACAACCTTTCACTGTTTTGCTCTTATATTGGTTTTTATTGGTTTTGAAAGGACAAAAAAAAAAAATAACCACTTTCTGCATTAGAGTAAAAATAAAAAATGCATATTGTGGCTGTTTAGACTGAAGATTGTTTCAGACATCCCAATCACTTACATGATGTTTGCATCCTAAAGCCATTTGCTCCAATATGTTCATGTACAGCATAAAAAGAGAGAAGACAAATTCTCAACAATATAACTACATTTTCATTTTTTTAAAGTGTGAACTTTCTCTGAACCCAACCTTCCACAATAAATCATTCGTTCTGCTTGCTGTCCTTCATGTGACACAGGCATAATGGTAGGAGTATTCAAACCCTTTCATTTTAATTACTTTATTACTGGGTTGTTTGCTCTATTTATATGGATTTATTTCTGACCTACATGCTGTGGAATAAAACGTATATTTGGCTTTGAAATGCAGTGGAGAGAAATATGAAGTAGCATCAAATGGAAACACTGAAGTACAGTACTGTACCTCAAAATTTTATAGTATATGTTTTGTGTTACTGGATTATAATTAATTAAATGTGTTTTTTTCCTTTGGTAGTTGGCTGGAGTAGTAATTTTATAAACCGTTGGGCACTGTTATATACAATATTGCATCATGTTTTATGATTATAAGTTTATTTGTAAAATTTGTAAAGCTATCTATTGTTGTCACTATTGTTGTGTTGTAAAAAAGGGCAACATTTCCCCTCTAAAATGTATTAGCTTACTCATATAAAAAGGCCTCAAATAGAAATAGTCAAATAAAGTATGTGCACCTGAAGAACTATACAATAATTGAGTGATTATACCCACTGTACACAGGTATAATGCTTACATAACTCCAACAGTGTAAATGACATCACTGTTCTCTTGTACAGTGTGTCTCCTGACACATTCTCCAGAAATTAAGACAATCAGTTATTTTCCCTCATCAAACGCAAAAGACACACAGCTGCCAAGCAAATTAAATTAGGTGACACTGAGACAACAGCTTTCTAACTAAAGCCCTGAGGCTGTGCTTCAGTGTTGTTCACATTTCACCTCCGTCCTGTTTTGAATAAGTGTTTGCCCCATGAGATGAGAGAGGACAGGAGGGAACTGACCTGTGGAGTGGTGACATCTGTCAGACCTGAAATGTAGGCAAACTCAACTACAACTAGTCAGATTTGAGATTGCTGAATGTACTGGTACAATTTTAATCAAACTTAAAGGATTGGTTCACTTTAATGCTGCATTTTTAAAAATTGACCTCATATTGAGAGTATAATTAAAGATAAGATGTTGATTTGCTCTCTGTGTTGTCTCCTTGCAGTGTGGAACATATATGAAAGGTGGTTTGACCTCGATATTCAGACCCAGGAGAAGATGTGGCGGCAGGCTTTGGGAGCTTACACCATCTGTCAGGACACATTTGTCAAAATCTGTGTCTTTCTTTCTGCACACACATACAGAATAGATGCATGCACACACATCCAACACACATTAAAAACACACAGATGTGCCACTGTTGCCAAGAGATTTGTTCTGAACCTCTCTTCACCATCTCTTTACTTACTGTTTGGTGTTATACGGTACAGACACGCCACCATTTCTCTGTCTGTTCTCTGCACAGTTCCTTCCCTCTTTATCTCTTTCAGTCCTCTAAGGAAAAGCAGAGAAAGAGTTTGGCTTCCTGAATCACTCACCGCTCACTGTATTTAACCTATCACAGTGAGTGACACCACTTTGAGTTTATCATTATCACTCAATCAAAGTGGACTCACAGGCTTCAGGGGGTTTCGTCTGAGGTTCTTATTTTACTAGACAAATCAGTTCAGGGTACAGGCAACTCAGAGGAAAAATACAAGCTTGGGTCGAGCCAGGAGCAGACATGTATATACTGGTAAGGCAATGGATGGCAAAATCCAGGAAACAGGCTCAGTTGGTACACAGTAGACTGGCTGAAAAAATATGGTTGTATGGTGCTATAGACAATCTGGCAATCACTAGAAGGAGGTATCAATGCTGACAGCAGAAATCAGGAAACAAGCTACATGTGAGCAGGTACTAATCAGAAGCCTGGAGACTCCACCAGTAACACCTAAGTCTCTGGAATGAGAAGACAGAGGTAAGTGAGACAGAGTAAGGAATGTCTAGACCATGACAATCATAGCTACGAGTGTTGTGTAACTCCCTGTTATATATAACCTCACCAATTTTAGTCTCGCCACTTCCTCCCTTCTATTACAGACCTACACTTACATGTTCCAGTTTACTCAGTGACTGAACCACACCTACATTTTAATGATTGCATGATATATTCTTATGATCTTGGATTTTTAAAGTAGAGACCTCACCAAGCCTTTGTTGCATATCTTGCATAAACAGGTGAAGATCAGACGTTTTGCTCTTTGAACCTCTGTCTTTTGCTTCTCATTGCCGTCCCATCTACTTCCTACCTCTGATGCAGTTTGTGGTTTTGAGTTACTTTTAGTGAACTTGAATGGAGAGAAAGACTGGTGTCTGGTTCCTAAAAGGCCACTGGTCCACTCTTTATCTTAGCCAGTGGCATTCACAAACTCTCAAGCAGGCAGAAAAAAACTTGTATTCTGTTCTGCGGATGTAACATACACAAATGTGCAAAGACTGTGTGGAGAGTTTGCTGCTCTTACAACCCCTTTCTCACATCTTCTCTCTCTCTCTTTTTTTTTTTATCACAGTGGGCTTTTCAATAAAAGAGTAAATGAAGAGGGCACACTGTCAGCAATCATTTTTGTTTTGTGTCTGGAATTCATCTGTAGCCCCACCTCAAATAAGCATGCACAAAATATAAAGCAGTGTAAAATTAAGATGCTTCGAATTAGAAAAGCACATTCCTTTAAGCAAAGAACTCAAATATCCAGAGAGCTTTTGTTATATTTCCTCAGCTGACTCACACAGCTGAAATTTGGCGTGAGGTGGGGTACACCCACAGGTTGTCAGTCTATCACATGGCTGACACATAGAGACAGACAACCAGTCACACTCACATTTATACCCACAGGCAATTTAGAGTCACCAATTGACCTAACATGCATGTCTTTGGACTGTGGGAGGAAGCTGGTGGGGAGGACACACAAACTCCACTGAGAAATGGTTCAAATGATAAGATCTGTATTAAGACTAGTCATACAGTATATGCAAATTGTGACAAAAAAAATCCATAATAATAAAATAAACCTTTTTTTTATAGCAGTCATCACCAGTTCACTCTCTGACTTAATTTCACTTTATTTCTGCTTGGTTAAATATTCATGACTCAACATGCAACAAAGGCTCAGTAAAGTAAAAAAAACATCCATGGATTTTATTTATAAGCAACATAACAGTAAGAAATTTAGCTAATCAGATTCATCAGCACTGTGGGGCTGTGGTTTGATCATTTTTTAATTTGTGGTAACTTCAGCAAACAACCCCACAATCATCATTACATTTGGACTCAAAAGTTAGTCAATCCAATTGATTTCCCAAAGTTGCACACACTTGCTCACAGTAAGAAACTGATTAAGTCTGATTCAGTCTTCACCAGTGGCACTTCAGCTGATCAAATAGCAATGAATTTTCTTATGATTACAAGATAACATTTTCTTCATTATGAGATCCACAGCAGGAAATCATGTGATGCCAAAGACATAATTGTAATAATTTTCTTCTTACTTCATACAAAGTACTAATGATTTCATTATGTTTTCCTCCTGTCTGGTTTGTTCTTTTCTATTACATCAGCTAAAATGTAATCACATATGGTGAACAAAGCCAAGGCTGAAAATTATTCAGGTCATAATAGAGTGGCCATGAATTATGTCATTTAAAGGACCGCTGGGTAAATTCCCTTCCAACCTCAATGAGAGTAAAGGCAAGAGTTATTTAGTTCTGTAGGAAGGATGAAAACATGTAGTGTGTGTGTGGTATATAATGCTCCCCACTGACCAGTGAAAGCTCCTGAAGAGAAAGCACTCATGCACCCATTCCTCATTTTCATCCATCCATTATCTACACTGCTTATTTCTGAATAGTGTCGTGGGGGAGCTGGAACCAATCCCAGCTGACATTGGGAAAAAGGTGGGGTCCACCCTGGACAGGTCACCAGTCTATCACAGGGATGACATGTGTATAGACAAACAACCACACACACTCACTCATGGGCAATTTAGAGTCACCAATCAACCTAAGCTGCATGTCTTTGGACTGTGGGAGGAAGCCGGAGTACCTGGAGAGAACCAACACAGGCACAGGGTGTTAAGGTAGCTCAGACACAGAAATGAACAAGCAATAAAGACGGACCCAGGTAGCTGGCTTCGGTGCAAGTAGTGACAGATTTATTTACAGTGCAAGTCCAAGTGCAATAAACAG